ACACACACACACACACACACACACACACACACACACACACACACACAAAGGATTCAAAGTATTTCCCTGCAAAACGTACAGTTGTTTTCTAGGGGAATAAAAATAAAACTACTTAGCAGGTGCTTACAGCTTTGAAAGCTATGTCAGAACTCAAAGCCGGTTCCTGCACTAACGATAAGTTTAGAAAATAAGTTATTCTTGAAAACCTCCCAAAAATTTGTTTCTGAGACAGAGAAAAGGAACGAACGGTCTTTTAAGGAACAAGTTACAGAAATCACAATAGAAAATGAATCTGTTAAGCTGCTAAGCATTAAGAATGAATACAAGTGAAGACTTTAAGCCTCCACAGATGTTTCCTCTAGTAGGAGAATCCTCTGCTGTGGGGTTTCAATTTAATAGGGAAAAAAAAATCCTAAAAGGTCTTTCTCTTTTTGTTCTCTTTAATTCTTATTCTAACACAGATCCCTGAAAGTAAAAGACCACTGAATATATTACAGGAAGAAAGAGAAGATTAAGTGAGCAAGCAGGGTTTCTGCAGCTCGGCACTGTTGAGGTTTGGGGCTGGGTGGATCTCTGCGGTGGGGCTGGGCTGTGCAGGGTGCTGAGCGGCACCCCTAGCCTCCACCCACCAGACGCCAGCAGCAAAGCTCCCCCAAAGTCATGAGGCCAAAAGTGCCTCCATACTTGCCAGAGTCCCATCCCCGAGGGCAAAAATCGCCCTGATGGAGAACTGCCCGCCGGCCATCGGCAACGCAAGCGTCCAGACTGGAGTTTTGGAGATCCTTAAATCTCGCTGCCGGCCACCCTCCCTCCAGTGCCTATCGCCCTGGGTGCCAGGAGCATCCTGGTCATCCGCATCTTTGTCCCCCCAACGTCTTCCTTCACCTTTCAGTCACCCTAGGAACCTGTCCTTTGCACTGCCGTTTTACAAGAGGGAACGTGGACACCGAGAGCTTTATCTACTTCCTGAGGACACGAGGTCAGCGGGCGGAGAGCTGGGATCCACATCCCAGTATCTCCGACCCCATGACATGGTTCCGTCTTCGGGAGCCTTCCCCACCAACGGGAACCCATACCTTCTCTGAAAGCATCTCTGTGCACATTTCTCTGAGCCTGCTGACACAGGGGATGGTGACCTGCTCTGAACACCCAACAGTGCCCACCTTGACATCTTAATGGCAGAAGAAGCTGCCCTGTCCCTCCTCACTCACCTCCACCAGGGGAGGAGCTCCT